GTGAGTGTGATATCTCCAGGCCCTATCTGGTCCCATTTCACTTTGATTACCCTGTCAAACAAGTCAGCCTTCGCCCCTGATGATGGTAATAACTTAGCCAAAGGGTTCTGGTAAAACTGTGACTGGCCTAGCAAGTCGGCGGCGGATAATTTATTGCGAAAACAAATCAAGGGAAAAAAACTGACAGACCCAAAAGGCAACGACAACGAAGAGCAACAAAAATGGTGAAATGGAACGTTGCCGAATTGACAAAGAACCTCAAACTGTTGAGTTTATGATAAAGAGAAAGATAGACCTGATTGGGTTATCAGACCCAAAAATAAAAAAATAAAAAGGGAAAGAAGCCAATAAAAATTATCTACATTATGTGTACATATAATGTACTAATCTGAACTGAGACACCCTCAAAGGACAGGGCTAAACATGGCGTGGATTTTATAATGAAACCAGAAAAGGCAAAATGCATCCCAGATATCAAACATGTATCGGGAAAAAAAACCATTAGCTTCTAGAAGACATCTAACCAACAACATACATGTGTACAACCAGACTTACCCCTATGCTATTTGGAAGAAACGGGCAGTATTGCATACAGACGTATATCAACATTCTGTATTTTCGAAGAGGGGGGGGGTCATAAACAGATAGTTTTAAAAAAATGCCCTGAGTCTATCGTGCTGGGTCTCGTGGTCATACTTTGGTTGTTTTTGTGAGGGTTTTTTTGTTACCTGCAGGCACCGGGGCTACTTTCTGTGGCGCACTCCTACGTAAGCAGTAGGGGTCCTCCATTGTCTTTGAGTTGAAAGTTCACTTCGTAAAAGCTGTCTTTGACAGCTAAAAAATAGAAAGAAATTTTAAAGTAAAGCCGCTTGGTAAATCTTTTCTCCCACACTGTTTATTTGCATTTCAACCTGAAGTTTTGTCCTTACATTCTTTACATTCCAGATTGAAAATGTTTCGTATTCCGGCTGCTTTCTTTTTTGACAGTTTGAGATGCTTGTCGTCATAAATCTTGAATGTGCATCCTCTTGTTAAAACACATTACACCCTAAGCGCAGCATTGTTGAATTTTTTCTCACTTCTATCTTAAACTGATTGCTTTCGATCATGATAGCGGACTTGCCAACCAGTATGAAATTCCCTATTTCACTACTGATTTTGGGTGTATACGGATTTATGAGAAAATGTGTTTGAATACGGAAAAAAAAAAAAAATGGGTCCATAGCATCTCGTCTCAACAAACTGCCGTAACACGGTTTGATCTCTCTCTCTCTCTCTCTCTTTATCTCTCTCTCTTTCTCTCTCTCTCTCTCAGGTGCGGTTCGTCAGTAGAGCACGATCGTGCAGTGCCGC